ATGTCTCAGTTAATATCTATTTGTAACTACAGACGGCAGCTTTGAGTAGTTTCACCTGGCTTGCCATTAGAGTGATCCCACACGAGCAATGCGTCGTCGCAACGCTATGATTTCAGCTTAGGGCGATGCCACATGGACGTTGCGTTATTTCAACGCACCGCAGGCTTGGCTTCACAACGCAGCACAACGTAGTGTCACCGATCAGGCGCCGCAACTCAAACCCAACGCATTGTGTGGCATCGTTCTTACAAGTTGCTCGCGGTGGCGCGTCGTTTCAACGCATCGTGTGGTATGTAGTCCTGTTTTTATATAGTACAACGCAGCGTCTTTATTGCCTCCACTGTCAAAAATTCACTGATGGAGCAATTTATACGCATCTATAATAAGATTCCGGTGCATATCCAACGTTTGCCGTTAATGAAAATTAAAACTATCGAGAAAAAATAAACTTTATGCAAAAGCTTTTTATACGGCGTCTGAGTACTTGAATGACAAAAATCTATAATCTCAGTACAGAGTACTAAAAAAACCGACCTCAAAAGTACGTGGAATTACGTCTATTTAGCAAAGCTTTATTGAAATATCCTTGAATTCGCTATACAGGACTTGACACTGGAGATAATAAAAATCGGTTCTCACGTCAACCATTAAAATAATTGCTTCTAAGTAAAATTTAGGCGTTATTTATAAAAATGAATCTTCTTGCGTGAACAGCAATCCTTAGAGGTGGACGATTTTCTTCAAAATGAAATGGGACCACTATGTAAGTACCCCCTTTCCAACAAAAAAAGAATCATGAAAATCGGTTTACAAATACCGGAGTTATCGCGTAACATACATACAAAAAAACATACAGTCGAATTGAGAACCTCCTCCTTTTTTGAAGTCGGTTAAAAAGAGTGATCCGTTTAGTTCCATCAAGTAGTTTCTACTATCATATTTGATATCATCAAATTAATTCGATGATATCATTTATGAATTTATTTAATACCAATAGTTGATTACCAATGATCATGGAAGGAGGACTTAGCCCAATAGTGGAACAGTTATAAATCACTTAAAATAACTGTCGATAGCAGGACTCTTAAATCTTGATGCAGTATTTCTATCCTTAAATGTCATTTTAAGTAGGTATTATTTACATATTTATGATAAGATAACTGATAACGTAAAACACGCAAGCGCGTAAATACTGAGAAATTTGCAAGTAACTTTCTAAGAAAACCGTTTGCTAAGTTGCCAAGAAGTGAAACTCCGCCTTCGCGGTTTCTAGATGAAATATGTCTATGTGATCGAATTGTGTAATGTTTAAGGCTGGCCTAATATCATAGCTAAGAGTTTGATCCCGTCCGCTGCGCGCGCGCCTGACTCCCAATTAGTGTGATTAGCGCATGAGTTGCGATTAAGGAATTCCAAGACTAGTTGATGTTAGAACGAATTCGTTGGTTGTATTAGTCACAAATAGCAAATATGTTCTTTACACTAGTACTTGTTTACATATTGACGTTTGTAACGTATATGCGGGTACATAATAACAATAAGAGATTAATTAACCTTCTTAGTGCTAAATGACTATATCGAAGAAACAAAGAATAATACATATTACTAAAAATTATACGGAGCGGTGCTAGCCCAGTGGAACAGCGGTTAGCTGTCGATTGAGAGATCAACGTTTCTAATTCATGTGCCAGTAGATACAAATGGTTTAGTACCAATACCCAATTACCTATAAAGTCCTAATCATATACGAGTGGCGGCTGAAAAGTAATCACTAAGACTATTTCCAATTTCAAAATAATACTGGTCACAGGTATAGATATAATTTTACAGAAATGAATAAATTACATAAACTTTATGCATACAATCATTATATTGACATAATTATTATTATGTTATTTAATATGTTGCTACATTATTTCACATAACTACACTGACTATGTTAAAATTACGTAGTACAAAACCTGTACTGGATATTTGTAATTTTTTGAAATGTAACATTTATTACTATTTGTAACGATTCTTGTAATACAATATATTGTATATAATAATGAAAAGTTTACAAGATAATAAATAAATCTAAATCACTACCGTGGCGCATTCGTTTTTTCTTTCCAAATTAAAGACACTCTGTTTTTTTCGTTTCGTCCAGATTAAATTAGCAAAAAAGTCAAATAATCATTTACTCCATACATTGACTTACAAATAAATGGACGACGGGTCTAATACAAAAACCACAAAAAAAAGGCCTCAGTCAACCTATTTAAACGTAGTGACATGTAAAGGAATATGAAAAACCGAAAACGTTGAATTTAAATTGTAATGTCATCGCAGTACTGTCTAATTTTGCTTACTTCGCTGTCAGTCGAACAAACGAAGACTAAAGCGTGAATGACGCTCTGTATACGATTTTAACGCCCTATAAGTTCGGACACTTTTTAGCGCGGACCCGACATCCATATAATTGTAAGTCAATGACTCCATAGGTAAAATTTTTACAGTTGAAGACGTCATTTTTTTAAGCTACTGCTCGTTCACTACGCTGACCTCCCTGAGGAGAACGTGCAACAAATTCTAAGAATTGCTCTTTTCAAATAAACTTAGATGCTATGGAATACACTTTGAATCATAATTGTGTAGAATCTAAAGTCATGTTGTCTTTCCATACATCTTTATCTAACACAAAACTTTTCAATTTTGTAATACGACTTTTCAATAAGTTTTAAACTTAGGAAATGATAATTTTAATATATGCTCCGAAATCTTATTGTAAAAACGTATACAGTTCCCCATAAAGGAATCGTTAACTTTAGTTAAACGAAATCGTGGTACCATGAGTTTGGTTAGCCTGCAAATAAACAAAAAACCCGCTTTGAGATCAGCAGTCCATCCGTTTGAAAACTACGATGTCACAGATTGATACATAGACAAAGGCTTCAAAGGGGGTTGGAAAAGATAACTTCTCACCAAAAATATGAAACACGAGCAAGAAATACGAGTAACCGCACGGCGAACTGGGCGGAAAACAATCACAATGCAAGGCATAGACATGCTAATCAAGATCCGATAGTTAATTTAATTATCTTCTCGCGGCCTTTGTTATGTTAAACAACGTTTGTATTGTGCACAGATAGATTTGTTCAAGTTTAACAAGCATTGTTTTGTGCTGTGTAATCAATAAGACGAGAGATTGTAATTTGTGATGCTTCAGGAATTTAGATTTGTTCTAGTAGTAATAGAACGAGTTTGTTCGGAGACGTACTGCCCCCATAGTGGTAATGTGGGCATTAATGCGTTCCAATTTTTTAAGGGTAAGAATGCTGGTGAAATTACAGACACATGGGACTTGTCAACTTATGTCTCAAGGTGACGGGCGCAGTGGCAGTGCCCCTTAAGTCTTTGCGATTTACTTTTATTTATTTTTATTTTTGTAATTGGCACTGCAACTGCTATAAAGGCACACGATTTGTTCCTAACGTCACTTGGCTTCACAAAAAAAAATTAGTCGCTGATTAGTAGACGACTGATTCATAGTTAGGAAAAATATTTACACTAATTCATTACGTGCGATTTTAAGTTATCTTACATTATTTCATCATTAGGTTGCTTACAATAAGACGTGCCTAAATGTATGAAGAGGATTCGACATTAGCTAGTTTGGTGATCGCGACAGGTTGTAATAGATCATCATCTCTCGAGCTCAGTGGGAAAACAGTTATAGACACACACACACACACACACACACACACACACACACACACACACACA